CTCACCTTTCATCTCCCTTAGTGCCTGTCTCTTTTACATCGTTAAAACACTCTTCTGCTCCCCCAACCCCTCGACTTTTTTCGATTTGATGTTCCTATCCCTCTGNAATCCGTTGCGTCAAATGAATTTCCTTTAACTGGTGAGGGATCCATAAATCACGTTTCTTGACATAACCAAGGGTTTTTCATTTTTTTTCAATGCATGTATGCGACACATTGAGCTTCTCTGCAATATCTCGTGTTGTGCTGTGACAATTCGAATCGATAATGGCCTTGATATGGGTTTCATCCACTTCGACTGGGTGGCCAGATCGTTGTGAATTTGTCAGTGAAAAATCACCGGAACGAAATCTTTCAAATCAATTTCGACATGCCTTTCTTTTAAGGCTTCATCTCCATATACGGCACATAACTTTTCTTTTGTGCTTGCGATACGTTCTTGCCTTTTCGGAAGTAATACAATAAAATGTGTCGGAAGTGCACGTCCTGTTCTTTCATTTTTAAATTGGGATAAAAACAAAACTAAAGAACTAAACAAAAAAAATTTTTACTAATTAACCTAGAAGCCCATACAGTAATAAAAAATATAGGTTAGATGCTCTGGCCACGTTAACAAAACAAAAGAAAGTATAGAGTGAATCTGTCAACAAAAACGACAATGACTTAGTTGCCCACCCAATAATAAGATGAGAAATTATTGTAATAGAAACTGGAATTGTCGTCGTCTAATATTTATGCAAAAAAACTATTCAAAAAATGCTATTTGACTTCAAACAAAGAAAAACCAGATACAGCATTGAACTTTTAAACGCTACTTGGTGATCCAAATTCTTCTTCTTTTGACAACTACAAGAGTCTTTCAAAAATATACTATGCTTTATGGATAACCGAGAATTCTGACTCCATCGCGCAAGCTGATAAAGTGGCTCTTTGCATTTTTCAATGGTTCAATTAAGGGGTGTGCGATAGACTTACCTCCAAGTGGTGCTCCCTGGGCAATGTATACTTTTACAGCAAAAAAGTCTATAAACTGGCAGTTCACTTCTGAGTTCAAGTTATCATGATCTCACTGTATGTTAAATTCGACCACTAACACAGTACTCACCTCACCTTTCATCTCCCTTAGTGCCTGTCTCTTTTACATCGTTAAAACACTCTTCTGCTCCCCCAACCCCTCGACTTTTTTCGATTTGATGTTCCTATCCCTCTGTGAAGCCTGAAGTCAAATAAAGGGCTAATGATAACTATCATAAAGCCTGCCATTCGATATAAATAAATGTTTCAATTAACAGCCATTTTAGCATCGGAATAGCTAAATTAGACCTTTAAATTTAGAAAAAAGACATAAATTATACCTTTAAAACTCATGTTTTAATTTATTCATTAATTTAATCGGGATCTTTTTCCCACTGTGGTATCCCACTCATGATTTCCTCCTCTGTTAGTGAAGTCATTAGGTATTCTATAAGTTCTTCTGAGTTCGTAATCAGTGAAGGTTGAGTTTCGAATTCCTCGGAAGTTGAACTTTCTGAAAAGTGACTGTTTTCATGCGTATTCATATCGCTTAATTTGCTGTGGGCATTTAAATCAGTGGCACAGAATTCACTCTCCTCCATTTCTAAATCAGACATTATTCTAGTGAGGGTCAACGTATTTGGTGGCGCTTCGGGCAACTTCATCGCAATCGGAGAAAGTTTGCGTTTCTTTATGGGTGAACTTGAATCCTTAGAGCGCGCCGGACAGGGTTCTCTCCTCTCCCCAATCTTGGTTGTTGAATTAGAAGGCAAACTATTTTGACCACCTCCATCTTTCAGTGTATAGCATCCATTAGGGAGCTCTACAAGACCTCCATATTTCGATTCCACCGCTAACGCCCTTCTTAGTTTGAATCCTGTAAGCTCAGGAGGAATAGTTGCCTCGTTTTCTAATTCATATAGGACTTCTTTTATTTCCTCTTCAGTAAAACCACTATTGGTATTGCCTTTGGCTTTAGAAATAAGAACTCGAATGGAGTTTTCTAGTTTTTCACTGATCAATGGCCTGTTAAGTATGACACCCTGTTTCTTTACCTCATTGGGTTCTAAGTAACTCACGCAGTTACGATTAATATAGGCCACAATATCACCTCTATCGTGGAGTTTGCGGATGCAGATATCAGTATCTGAAAGGGGAATTTTGTGATAAGATAAGAGGTAAGCCTTGATTTCATCTTTTTTAGAAGCCTTGACAACTCTTATCTGTTTAATGGCATTTAAAATCAAATCTCGATGGAAATCAAGGCGTTCTAAGTAGGTGACTCGTGGAATTTTTCTTGGATTCGTTGACGCATTTGTTGAGTCTGATCTTTTCTTCTGAGGATATTCCATTAATTGATACCGCGCAAAAAAATATGATTGATGCTCTTGAACATAATTTTTTATTTAAAATCAAAAATAATTTTAACAGATATGTATTCGAAATTTAATTTAAAGTTTAAAATGTTTGGAAATTTAAATGGCTGCATTTATTAGAAATTAAGTTAAGTGAACCATGATTAGATTTTACCCAAAATTGGCCCGCAAGTGTCCTCTTCTAAGCTAGGACTGATAAAAGATTTCTGCATAAAATGGCACAATAATCCGTTTTAATTTAAGCAGTTGGTAGATGGGATAAGATCATCGTGGACAATAATCCAGTCTGAAACAAAATAATTCAGTTAATTGAAATGTGGGTATAAATTACTATGAAAATAAGACTTTTAAATTGTGATACTTGTTTATATCAAATAGCAGGCTTTATGATAGTTTATGATAGAATCGAAGCCGTTGCTGAATTTAGCCTACGTACCGGACACGATTGCTTAGCAAAACATCTTAACAGATTGGGAGTATACACTCAACCCACATGCCCTCTATGTCTACAGGAGAAAATGGAGAAGACCCACCTGATTCGGTGTTCATCAAGAGGAAATGGAGAAGACCCACCTGATTCGGTGTCCCACTCTAAAGACAAGGACGGAAAGCCAGAGATACTGGGAAGCAACTAAAGACAACGACGGAAAGCCAGAGATACTGGGAAGCAAAAAGACAGCTAATGAACTGATATTAATTAACTGCTATTAATGTACCCCCCCCCTTGGGGGAAGCTGAAGTCAAAGTTTAAGGGCTAATCCTTCTTGGGGGAAGCTGAAGTCAAAGATTAAGGGCTCTTGGGGGAAGCTGAAGTCAAGGATTAAGGGCTAATGATCCCTTGATTAAGGGCTAATATGATAGATATCATAAAGCCTGCCATTTGAAATAAATGATGAGGCAGACCCCTGGGGGAAGCTGAAATCAAAGTTTAAGGGCTAATGATAAATATCATTACCCTTGGGGGAAGCTGAAGTCAAAGTTTAAGGGCTAATGATAAATATCATAAAGCCTGCCATTTGAAATAAATAAATGATAGTTATCACTAGCCCTTAAGTTGACTGGGAAGGGAAGAGTGGAGTGATTCACAGATGTAAGAGAGACAGACACAAAGGTCGGGAAAAAGGTAAGGTGAAGGGAGTACTGTGGAAGTGGTGGAATTTGACATGCGATCAGGACTGCCGATTTATACACCTTTTTGTCTTATGACTATACATTGTCCAGGGTGCACCACGTGGAGGTAAGCCTATCGCGCAACCCCAAATCGTGATACTAAAGTGAAATAAATGCATGACAAGTCAGTAAAAATCTGGAGCTTTGACATCTTGAATTCATTAATTAGGCTACACTGACCTACTCCTACTCCATCTA